CATGTGGTGCTGGGGGATTGAACTGCGGTCCCTGTGTTTTGCTAAGCTTGTTCTAAGTAGGTGCTTTAGACCACTGAGCCATCTCACCAGCCCCGTCACCTGGTTACAGTAGTCAACACAGCTCCGAGGCATGTACCAAGGATTGAACCCAGGTCTTTGCACTTGCCAGGCAGGTGCTTAGACTGCCAAGCTATCTCACCAGCCATGAACTTTTCTTTAGTTTGTCTCTACCAATCTAGAGGAAAGTGTGTTTTCCCAGCTATGCATGCAGATTGTACCTCATGGCAAAATGATTCAGTTACTAAAAACAAGCAGAAAAAATACAAAATAATCAATGAAACTCTATAGAGAAACTAGAGCAACATCAACCCCCTCCCAGCAAGCAATGGGGTAAGAGATTAAACTGAAGCATAACATCTCAGTACTTACTCCTACATCAACACTTGTGTTTGAAATTATAATTAATAACTTACACTTCCTTTTTCTTCAGGTAAAAAAGACTTTGAAAAGAGTAACTGTTTTATTTGCTCCCCCGCAGGCCATGTAAGCCCTGCCCCTGGGGCTAGATGAGACAGTGACTGAGACTAGGTGTCGTGGCACATGCCTACAATCCCAGTGCTTGGGAGGCTGAAAACAGGAGGATCACTATGAGTCTAATATGTGTAGTGAGACCCTGCAGACCCTTTACTAAGTCCATAAAAAATAAAATAAAATAGAAAAGAGAAACTGTTTTAGAGTCAGCACTGTAACTTCAAATCATTCTGCCATTAAGACTGATACAAAGATTGTTTTGTTTTCTAGATCCACAAATTGATAATAAGTTCTCAACACAAAAGGACTAGAGAAGATAGACTTCACAAGTCACTGACCAAAACTGTTGTAATGCAATGGAGCTAATAGAATACATACATTTGTTCTGAAGAAAATTTGCAAAACTAGCAATTTTTCTCAAGAATTACAAAAGATAAAAATCTATGAACCAGCATTATAATGTGATCACAGAAAGACAACAAACTAAAGCTAAAAAAAAAAAATTACAAGCTTTCTATAACATTCCCCAATCCATTTCTTGAAGTCTTTTTTTTTTTTTTTTTTTTTTTTTTTTGGCGGAACCGAGGATTGAACTCAGACCCTTGAGCTTGCCAAGGAAGTGCTTATTCTACTGAGCCATCTCCCTGGCCCCTCTATTACCATCTTTAAAGATGTGCAATCACTTCTGTGGTTAGGGCAAAATTAGTTTATCACTGGCACATATCTTTAAAAAAACCTAACCGTAACCCTAAGAGTTCACTCAACTGTGGTTCTTTTAAAAGTAACAAAATATGTCAGAAAAAAAAAACATCTTGGAGGGGTTGGGGAGATGGCTCAGTGGGATAAGTGCTTCCCTGGCAAGCACAAGGGCCTGAGTTCAATCCCTGGTTCTGCAAAAAAAAAAAAAAAAAAAAAGGCAAGACACCTGGCAATCTGATACTTGAACTCTTCCCCTGATCAAATTTTGTTTTCTATCAAAACTTGACAATTCACATAAGATTAAAACAGTTTCATTAACGTAAGGACTTTTCAATGTTTCCCCCTCCAGAAAATTTAAAATTTCAGGGGAACTCAGTGCCAGCTATTAAGACATTGCTTACAATAAAATTCAAACTCACGTGGTATTGCAAACTCAACAGATTTTATACATTTACAAGTATGTGCTTTGGGAGCTGGCAAGATAGGTCAGTAGTCTACAGCACCTGCTTAGACAAACTTAAGCAGGCACGGGGGTGGAGGTTCCATCCCTGGCAATACATGCCACACCAACCACGTCCTCAGCTGGCCAAAAAAAACCATGTGCTTTGCTTCATAATGGCAGTTTCAGACTCCATTATACACTGTGCCAGAAGAGCGAGACAAGAGCCTCCCCACAGTCTTATCAGATTATGTTTAAGTAAATCACATTATTGAATCAAAATTTTAAAGAACAGGGGCCGGGGAGATGGCTCAGTAGGATAAGTGCTTGACTGGCAAACACAAGGATCTAAGTTCAATCCCCAGTTCCACCAAAAAAAAAAAAAGAAAAAAGGGGGCCTGGCCTTAGCTCAGTTGTTTAAGTGGCTGCTTCCACAAAGCTGTCAGCCTCAGGTTGCTGTAGTTCGATCCCCACAACACTCCAGCCAGCCAAACCACCCCTGAGGGCATTCAGAGCAAAAAAAAAAAAAAAAAAACCTTATTCCATTTTGGGGCCGGGGAGATGGCTCAGTGGAATACGCGCTTCCCTGGCAAGCGCAAGGGCCTGAGTTCAATCCCCAGTTCCGCAAAAAAAAAAGAAAAAGAAAAAAAATTTTAGAGAACAATCAAGAACCAGAAGAGAAAAATTACAATGTGGATGGTATAGCAGTTTCCTTCCCATGGCATCTGCTCCCAGGAGACCCCTCAGTAGCAGACAGGCAGCACAACTGGACTTCATATTGGTTCTTTATTTCTCCTTTTCAGTTGGATGATTTATTTTTCTCTGTAATAAAGCAAGTAGTATTTCAGGGGGTCTGGCAGAGGGAGGCTCAGGACCTTCTCACGCAGGACGTTCACCGGAGGGTCTGGCTTGGTTTCTAGTGAGGTCTTGTCTTCTTCCTGATGTTCCTCTTCCAAGTCTTCACAGCTGTTGTCATCAGAAGGGTTGGAAATACGACTGGCAAAGACTTCTTTGTCCAAAAAGACTATTGTTTCCATTTGACGGCGTCGGATCCTCCTTCGTTTAAACCTGGGGGTGTTCTTTAGTCCATTTCCACTTTTGCTCAAAGCTTCCTGATGAATGATCTTCTTAATGGTCCCCCGGATAGCAATGCGGGCCAAGTCCTGGAGGCTGCGCACAGCAAGTGGTGCTTCAACATAAGAACAAGAGGGGCAAATGCCACTGTGAGGATGATACCACAAAGCCCAAATGTCCAAAAGCCCTCACATCATTTGGATTCACTGGCATATTTACAAGTATGTTACAAGAATGTTAGAGTATTCTAAGCAAGTGTTAAATACTGCATTGATTTGCATTGATGTGGTCAGATACACTAATTCTTAACTCTGAAAAGGAAAGAAAGCAACATTACCAAAACCAGGGAGGCCCACAAGGAATCCTAACGATTGCCACTGCTCTACAGGAACACAGGCATGAGCTCCAGCAGTGCCTTTGTTGTAGTCCTCCCACTTCCCTGAGGACCTAGGGTCATGCCACTTACCATATCTATGATCTTCCATCTTTCCTGCAGTCAATAACTCACTTCAAAAAATTTAGCTCCACAATTCCTGTTGTGGAATGTACCTATTTCTCTAAGATGCTGAAATACTCTCTCTCACACACACACTATCAGACTCCTAAGGGTTAGCTTTGGGCTCTCTAGCTCTGACGTACCACCAGGATCATCCAACTGGCCTCATCATCCCAGCGACATAGGCCCTCTGGATCCTCCTCTTCCATCCGGCCTTGTCATGTCCTCTAAGGCTCCAAGGTCCACCACCATTCCCTCTGCCCATGCCTGCTGGCCCCTCATTTACATCCACTCCATGGACAACAGAAATGAGACAGAGACCAGCTCCCTAGCTTTCCATCCCATCCTGATTAGGTACTGAGCCTCCCCTAGACCCACAGCTATAGTAGAAATGGACACCTGAGACTCCTATGTTCTTCTTCAGGAAGACCATGTATCCTTGAGGTTTTCTCACTATAGAGGCCAGTGTCATCTCAATCTCCATCTCTTGCTTAGAAAATCCCAATAACTTTCTGACTAGTCTCTCCCTCCAGTCTGCCACTCATCCATTCAACTTAAAAGCTGACCCATACAATACATGTCTAATCCATAGTGAAGTAAAAGATTAGGGTGGTGACAAACGGGCACTAACTGGGAGGAATGTGTCAAAGTCATGGAGAACCAGGGAACATGTGCAGAACACAGAATCTAGGATGACTCTGAAGCTCCTAAGTACTGTAATGGAACCAATTACAAAAATGCCTTTTTCAATTCTTCACTTACATCTAGCAAGAAGCAAGACCAATCTTTGAACAGGACAGTTTAAATCTGGCAGCAGGCCAAGCGAATTTTTGATACAATTGTCCAAATGCTTTATCTGCATGAGGAAAAAGTCAATCCAAGAATTTTTTTTATTTTTTATTTTGTTTTTAAAAATAGTTATGATAGGGGCCAGGGAGATGGCTCAGTGGAATAAGCACTTGCCTGGCAAGCGCAAGGGCCTGAGTTCAATCCCCGGTTCTACCAAAAAAAAAAA